ATAAAGATAGTAACGGTTTCGTGGGGCCCATGGGGTACGACAACATCAACACGAAGGAGACGCTCATCGAACGAGCAAGTACGCACGAAAGGGCAGACGAAAGAATGGAGGAGGGAGGACATGTGCTCAGGAAACGAAGCCGTGTAAATAGTACGGTTTATCGATACCCTCCTCGCTCTGGCGGGGCCCCGCTGGAAGGGGGGAGGGCTACAACACCTGGTAAAGAGTAATGCGTTCCGCGACCCTCCTCGTTCAAGCGCGGCCTCTCTGGAGGAGTGGAGGGGGGAACACGAAACCGTGTAAACTGCATTGTTTTCCGATGCCCTCTTGGAGGAGGAGGAGGAGGAGGAAGAGGATAGGATGGATGATGGTGAAGAGCAGCAGCCGTATCATCGTCATCATCATCAGTATCATCAGTATCATCATCATCATCATCAGAACCATCATCATCATCGTCAGCATCATCGGCATCATCATAACCATCATGATAATGATCATCGTCGCCATCAGCATCATCACCATCCTCATCATCATCAGCATCATCATCATCATCATCATCATCGTCATCGTCATCGTCATCGTCATCATCATCATCCTCGTCGTCGTCATCATCGTCATCATCATCATCATAACCATCATCATCATCGTCAGCATCATCGGCATCATCATAACCATCATCATCATCGTCAGCGTCATCGTCATTATCATCATCATCGTCGCCATCATCATCATCACCATCTTCATCATCATCAGCATCATCATCATCAACGTCATCGTCATCATCATCCTTGTCGTCGTCATCATCGTCATCATCATCGGCATCATCATTGTCACCATCCACGTCCTTGGCATCATCATCGTCCGCATCATCGTAGACGTCATCATCATCATCATCACCATCATCATCATCATCATCATTATCATCGTCATCATCATCACCATCACCGTCATTGGCATCATCATCGTCCGCATCATCGTGGACGTCATCATCATCAGCATCATAGTCGTCATCATCATCAACAGCACCAGCAACGTCAGCATCAGCAGCAGCATCGTCATCATCACCAGCATCTGCATCAGCACCCTCGTCGTCGCCGTCGTCGTTGTCATCATCGTCATCGTCATCATCACCATCATCATCATCATCATCATCGTCATCATCGGCACCATCATCATCATCATCAGCATACTCGCCGGTATCGCCATCGTCATCGCCCATCACTATTATCGCCATCGTCATCGTCATCGTGAACAACAGCATAACCATCGTCATCACCATCATCATGATGAAGCCTTCCTCATCGCAGAACTCCCCCTCCTCCTCACCCTCCTCAGTGGGAGGAGTAGAACGTGAGATGGATAGGTATTGTTCTCCCCTCCTCCTCCTCACCCAAGTCAGTGGGAGGGGCACGAAACCATTTAAATAGTGTGGGTTTCCGATACCCTCCTCGCTCAGACGGGGCCTGCTTGGAGGGGTGGGAGGGGCACGAAACCATGTAAATAGTATGGGTTTCCGATACCCTCCTCGCTCAGACGGGGCCTCCCTGGAGGGGTGGGAGGGGCACGAAACCATGTACATAGTATGGGTTTCCGATACCCTCTTCGCTCAGGCGGGGCCTCCCTGGAGTGGTGGGAGGGGCACGAAACCATGTAAATAGTATGGGTTTCCGATACCTTCCTCGCTCAGGCGGGGCCTCCTTGGAGAGGTGGGAAGGGCACGAAACCATGTAAGTAAACAGTATGGGTTTCCGATGCCCTCCTCGCTCAGACGGGGACTCCCTGGAGGGGTGGGAGGGGCACGAAACCTGGTAAATAATATAAGTTTCCGATACCCTCCTCGCTCAGGCGGGGCCTCCCTGGAGGGGTGGGAGGGGCACGGAACCATGTAAATAGTATTGGTTGCCGATATCTCCTCGCTCAGGCGGGGCCTCCCTGGAGGTGTGGAAGGGGCATGAAACCATGTAAGTAGTATGGGTGTCCGATTACCTCCTCGCTCAGGCGGGGCCTCCCTGGAGGGGAGGGAGGGGCACGAAACTATGTAAATAGTATGGGTTTCCGATACCCTCCTCGCTCAGACGGGGCCTCCCTGGAGGGGTGGGAGGGGCACGAAACCATGTAAATAGAATGGGTTTTCGATACCCTCCTCGCTCAGGCGGGGCCTCCCTGGAGGGGAGGTAGGGGCACGAAACCATGTAAATAGAATGGGTTTTCGATACCCTCCTCGTTCAGGCGGGGCCTCCCTGGAGGGATGGGAAGGGCACGAAACCATGTACATAGTATTGTTTCCGATACCCTCCTCGCTCAGGCGGGGCCTCCCTGGAGGGAGGGGAGGGGCACGAATCCTTGTAAGTACTTTTGGTTCCGATAGGTCAGGCGGGGCCTCCCTGGAGGGGTGGGAGGGGCACGAAACCATGTAAATAGTATGGGTTTCCGATACCCTCCTCGCTCAGGCGGGGCCTCCCTGGAGGGGTGGGAGGGGCACGAAACCATGTAAATAGTATTGGTTTCCGATACCCTCTTCGCTCAGGCGGGGCCTCCCTGGAGTGGTGGGAGGGGCACGAAACCATGTAAATAGTATGGGTTTCCGATGCCCTCCTCGCTCAGGCGGGGCCTCCCTGGAGGGGAGGTAGGGGCACGAAACCATGTAAATAGAATGGGTTTCCGATACCCTCCTCGCTCAGGCGGGGCCTCCCTGGAGGGGCGGGAAGGGCACGAAACTTAGTAAATAGCGTAGTGCTCCGATACCTTGCTCGCTCTTGCGGGTATGGTATGGTAAGGTATGTATGGTATGGTATTGTATGGTGTCTTTTGTTCCCCCCCTCCCCCTTCTCACTATGTGTCTGACGTGTCCGTTCAGCAGCCCTTTGGGCTTAGGCTTCATGATGCCTCCTGATGGAGGGTAGGGGCGCTCTCTCGGTCCCAGGAAGAAAGGTTCTGCTCTCCCGTTTCAGATCGCATGTCTCGCGATGGTGCCGACAATGGTAAGCGGAGCTATGGTGACGATGGGGACAACGGGGGCAATCAACTTCCAGGGGCTGGGGGAGCCCAGCCTCCAGCAGCAGCAGCAGCAGGAGCCAAGCAGGGAGAAGGGTCCGAGGACCCTTGGAAGGACGCCGCGGAATGGTGGGGATCATGGACACAGTGGTGGAAGACCTCCGGCGGCAAGTGGACCTGGACGCCCGACGGCGATGACGACGACGCGAAATCATCACGAGAAGGATGGGGAAGCTGGCAGCGACTAGAGAGTCAACTGGTGGACGACGATCGACCACAGTGGGAGGAGCGCTCGAAGGATGTCTCAGCACCGCCAGTGTTCCACGGTCTGGAAAATTTGCAGCTGTACCGCGACAATTTGCACTCTTGGAAGCTGAGAGCAGGGTACAAGCCTCGCAACCAGGCTGGGAAGGTGCTCGAGTCGTTGCCGATCGAGCTTCAGGTCAAGTTCCGGTCACTGAGACACGAGCTGGATCAGGACGATGGGTTAGACAGGTTGGTGGCCCATCTCGAGTTGCTGTCGGGGGAAAGACCGGGGGATAAAGAGCGCGAGGCCCAGAATCGTGCGCTGTTCGACCTCAAGATTCGCACAGGCGAGTCGCTGACGGAGTACGTGGTCCGCCGGGACACCCAGGTCAGCGAGGCGCAGCGATTCGGTCTCACTCTCCCTGATCAGCTGCTTGCGAGGAACTATGAGGAAGGAGCTATGCTGCACGGACAGATGAAGGTGAATATGAGAACACTTATGGGAGAAGACAAGTCACTGAAGTCGGTGAGGAAGGCTCTTCTGGCGATGGACGTTCGAGAGAAGACAGCGCTCCCATTGCTGGCGCCGGGCCCCTCCAGGACGCACGCTGAGATGACCCAGGGTCAGGGGCCCGACGAGGACCAGCAGGATCTCGAGGAGTCTTTCGACCTTTTCGAAGTAGAGTTCTCGGACGAGGAGGCCATGACCCTCCTCGCGGCTATAGACCAGCAGAACTTAGACGAGGACCAGGCCTACCAGGGGTTCGCAGAAGTTGCCGAGCCGAGACGTCGACGGACCTGGCAGGAGTCGAAGGATATGATGAATGCTCGTCGGGTGGATCGGAATTTCTTCGATAGGAAGAGAGGCAGGCCCCCTCCACCGCCCAAAGCGGAGGATCTCGAGACACGACCTGAAGAACCGGTCGCGACGCGCGAACTGCGGTGAGAAGGGGCACTGGCGAGATGATTGCAAGAAGGCGCACCGTTGCAGGTCGGACCGACTGCAGGCCGAGAAGGAACAGGGGCCCAGCGATGCGAGCTCTTCGTTCTTCTTCGCGGCCGACGGCTCCGACGAGACAGGCGGTTCGTGGATGGTCGACAGGTTCGATTCCTTGGAAGGCACGAGCAGCTGGGCGACCCTGAGCGGCAAGCGCCTCGACGAGGCTCTGGCGTCGGTCTCCCTGCGCTCGCTGGGCCCGCGCGGCCTGGCGGGCGCGGCGGCGGGGCAGGCTCTCGTCGGCAAGGAAGACCTGGACAACTTGATTCGCGCGTTCGGCAAGAGAGGGCTCGTGGTCCACGTGAGCTACGAGGGCGACTTCCCGAAGGCCAGCGGGGTAGGCGGCAGCGTCGCGCCGCTGGCCAAGGCCCTGGTCCCGGTGTCGCTCTGCGGCTGCGGGGTGATCGAGTTTCTCGTTCTTAAGCCTCGGTGCCCGCCGCTGCTGCCGGCCAAGTTTCTAGACTGCCTGAAGGCGGTCGTGGGCATGCCGGGCAACAAGCCGAAGCTAGGCGACGGCGCTGAGCGAGATCTTATCAAGCTTCCGAGCGGACATCGGGCAGTCAATTTGATCGGACGCGCGCCTCGCGAGTTCAAGATCGACCCGAGCATAGCTGACAAGCTTCCGTCTTTCATCAAGGAGACTGCGACTTTCGTCGAAGCTAGAGACCCTGAGAACAACGAGTTGGACACCTGGGAGGTCATCGGCCCAGTCCTGAGGCGCCACCACAACAGGCCCAGGAGAGCTATGTTCACGCCGAAGCAGGTGGCGGGCATTCCCGTGGACGTGAGTCAGCTCGGCCCCAGCAGGAGGGCGACGTGCACCCACGTGGACCGGCGCGACGTGGAGCAGAAGCAGGAGTTCGTGAGTGACTGGGTGGATCGGGAGTCGGCGCACCTAGCGATGCCTTTCTACTGGGTCGGCCACACCGATTTCGACATCGGGGGCGAGTTCAGCGCGGTCGTTGAGGACCGCGGCCCGGCTCGCGCGCTAGGGCGCCAGCCGTCAGTCCCCTCGTCCTCCTCCTTCCCCGCTCGATCCTCCCAGACAGGAGACAGTCCTGGGGCTACTCGTGGGGAGACGTCTGGGGAACGGCCCGAGAAGGCCTCCGTAGCTCCTCAGGGCTCGAGCAAGTTTACGCTTTCGGGAATTTCCCCTGCCCCAGCAGTCTCAGCGGGCGCCGATGTCTTCTCAGAAGGCGCGGCAGGATCGCCACAGGATGCGTCAGGCGACGGACGGGGCCAGGACCATCGGGGCGCTCAAGTCGAAGGCGAAGATGGCCGTGATCAGCGAGGAGACCGACGACAGCGACATGGAGGCGAACTGGGACATGCCGGCCGATCCGCGGGTCGACGGGAGTCTCAGGGGGCTCGACCTGTCGGAGGAGACGATGGGCCCCGTCGAGCTCGAGTTGTTCTACGAGGGGAACTTCCTGCTGGCCCCGGGAGTAGCCGCCTGGAGGAGGGTCGGGTCCAAGCTGCTCGCGCTGTTGCACCTCGTGACCTCGACCCGCATGCTGAAGGCCTTGGCCCCGGGAGCAGCCAACCTCGCTCCGATCGACCCAGGCCCGAAGAGGGACCTGGAGGGCAAGTGCATCCACCCGATGGAGGCTCGGAAGCGCGGCGGGAACCAGTACGGGACCTTCGTCCACTGCACGATCTGCAAGGAGCGCCTCACCACGCACCGCAAGTCCAAGAAGGAGATCGAAGAGGCCCGCCAGGTCAAGAAGGAGGAGAGGGAGCTTGCGGCGAAGGTCGTCAAGGAGCTCAAGAAGGAGATGACCGAGCCGCGCGAGTCCAGCTTCCCGGCTTTCGCCAGGAAGGCCGAGCCCGTGGACTGTCTGGGCCCGAGGATGACGGTGCCGATGAAGACCCCGCCTCCGGGGGCGCCGCCTCCGAGAGTCAAGGCGGCGGTCAAGACGGGCGTCCCGGTGAAGGTGGAGCAGGATGCACCGATCGAGGTGGGCCGCCAGTCCGCACAGGAGCAGATCGAGGAGTTGCGTCTGACGATGGCCCAGCAGCAGAACGCGGGCCTCCGCAGCCAGCTGAGCGAGCTGACGGGCCTTCTGCGCGCGCTGGTCGCCGGCCAGGCGGGCGGGTCGGGCGGGCCGACCACAGGCGCTGGCTGAGGCCGAACCGGCTCGAGCTGACGAGGACGGGGCTCGAAGTAGCCCAGTGGAGGCCGGCGGCCCGCAGCGCGAGACATCTGTCGCCCTTCCGCAAAACGGACCAGAGCCCCCCGTCCTGAGGTCGACCATCTTTGCTCTCTCGGATCCTCCGCTCGGAGACCAGATCGCCGCGGACCTTCCGGGGGCCGGGGGCGCGGGGCCCTGGACTGGAAAGGGCCTTCGGGCCTTGGGCGGGGCCAGGCTCCAGCGAGGCCTCCCGCGGAAGGACTCCAGAGGAGCCAAAGGGGTCTGGGGCGCTCGCTCTGGTTGTCGAGTCCCTCTCGACGAGGTGCGTGATAGGGCCAGCTGGGTCCGGTCCGAACTGGGCCCTCTCGAAAAGGCTTCCCGGATCGTGGATCTGGCTTTGAGCGCGAGCGGTTCGAAGCTGTCCTCTTCGTCGGGTCTCTTGGGAAACGTTCGGAGGATCAGGATCGAGGAGGGTAAGCAGCAGGGAGGTGGCCCAGGGACCGTCGAGCTGGTCGACACGCTGTGGACCTCGACGTCTGCGGCGGAGTTGGCGCAGGCCCTAGCGGGCCGTAGTAGTGAGCACCTCAAGATCAGCATGTGGACCAGGTCCGGGCCTCAGGAGGTCTCGGCCTCATTCATCGCGGAGACCGAGGAGGACATTCTGGAGAAGGCCGGGGCCCCAGCGTCCAGCCTCTGCGAGTCGTGGGCTGTCTTCGATCGGAGTCGGCTTTCCGGGGGGGCCTCCGAGGAGCCGACGGTGCCGAGGCAGGTGAGGCAAGGGGCCTTGCAGGCTCTCACGGGAAGGGGGATTCGCAAGCAAAAGAAGATGGTACGCAGAGAGGCCATCAAGGCCTACAAACGAGAAGGTAGGATTGCGGTGATCGAGCTTTTCTCTCCCCCCCGTGTCTCGAAGGAGCTGCAGCGTCGAGGATGCCCAGTCTCCCAGGCCCTGGACAAGAAAACAGGATGGGATGTCACCAAGGTTGCGGGTAGGCGCAGACTCTGGAAGATTCTGGCGGAAGAGCGCCCAGAGGCCGTGGTGATGTCACCTCCCTGCGCCTCTTTCTCCCTGGTCAGGATTCCCAACTGGTCTCGCATGTCCCCTGAGAAACTGGAAGGTTCGGAGGCCGAGGGTTTGCTGTTTATGGGTGTGTGTGCCATGGTGGCCATGCACCAGTTTCAGCACGGACGTAAGTTTGTGTTGGAGCATCAGGCCTACGCGCTGTCCTGGGACCTCGAATGCATTCGGCTGGTCGCGGCTCGGGAAACAGTGGGGAGCGTTGTGACGGATCAGTGTCAGTTCGGGATGTCAGCTCCTGGCTCCAAGGGGCCTAACTAGAAAGCCACTCGGTTCCTCTCGAACGACGCGGAGCTTTTAGGCCTTCTCGATCGGCGGTGTGCCGGGTACCATCTCCATTCTCCCCTGGTGGGCGGCGCGAGGACGTCGGCTACGGAGGTGTACCCGCCGGCCCTGGTGGCGACCCTGGCGCAGGGAGCGGAGAACACGGTGCTGAGTAGAGCTGGCTCGCTTGTCGGTTCAGATGGGCTGGAGGCCTATCCCGAAGGAGTCATTCCAGGGGCTGATGAGGGGGCCGAGGAAGGGGCGAAAGTTATAGACGTTGAGTCGGACGACGAGGTCCGCCCGGGGGTTTCCGGCCCCGGCCTCGGTCCCGAGGATCCCAGCAAGGGGCTTCCCCAGGAGCTTCAGCAGGAGGTAGAGAAGCTTCACGTTAATTTGGGGCACCCCCGTTTGGACGACTTTGCGCGGGCGCTGAAGGTTGCTCGCGCCCGGGAGGAGGTGGCGAGGTGGACGGCCAGGCATCTTACTTGCCCCTCCTGTAACTCAGAGGGGCCCAAGTCGTGGAGGAGGAGGGCCCAACTCCCGAGACCTACAGGTTCAACAAGCTTGTGGCTGTGGATCTGTTCTTTGTGCCAGCTCTCGGAGCGTCTCCTCCGATTTTGAATGCGGTGGATCACGGCGCGAATTATCAGACGTGCACCGTCTTGGGGGCGGCTAGCGCCGAACAGGCTTGGAGGGGATTCGCGAGGTCCTGGGTCCGCCCTTTTGGGATTCCAGAGGTGGTCATGTCTGATGGGGGATCAGAATTTGAGGGGATATTCGCCCGGTCTCTTGAGCACTTAATAGGCGTGTTCCACCACGTCTGCGACAGCGAGAGCCCTCACCAGAATGGCCGCTGCGAGAGGCACGGCGGCCTGGTGAAGCTCGCTCTCTGGAAGGCTGCGCTCTCGGCCCAGCCTCCGTCAACTGAGGAGGTCGAGGATCTCCTGGCGGAGGTCGTCGCCACCAGAATCGTCACATGCACCGCGGTGGATTCTCACCCCACCAGTTGGTTTTCGGAGAAAACCCAAGGTTCCCCAGGTCCTTTTTGAGTGACGAGGCGATCGACGAGGTGGGGGTCCAAGACGTCCTCAGGGGGACCCGCGACGCTGATTCCCCATCTGCCGCGTTTGCTCGCAAACATCTGTTCAGGGAAGAGGCTCGTTAGGCGGTGATGGCCATGGACATTCGGGAGAAGGTCCAGATTGCCTCGAGAGCTCGACAGCGCGTCGATGCCTTCTATCCCCTGGGTTCGTGGGTCTACGTATGGAGGAGACCTCAGGGGGCGGAGAGGTCTTGACAGTTGGGAGGCAGTCGCTGGACGGGTCCGGGCGCGGTCGTGTACCAGCGCGGCACGTCCGCGTGGGTCGCAATGAGGTCGCGCCTCTGGAAGTGTAGCTCTGAGCAGGTCCGGTGGGCCACTAGAGAAGAAGCCTGGGGAGCCGAGCTCATGTCCAGTCCCTCGTTTGAGCAGCTTCGCCGGGAGCTTCAGAATCCAGGTCGTCGTGCGGGGGCGGTCGACGTGGAATCTGAGGGCCCGCCTCCGCCATGGCTTGGGGTGCGCCGGCTGCCGGCTCTTCCGAGGTTCCAGGGACCGGGGCTCTGCCTTCTGATTTGGGCCCGGGGTCCGAAGTTTTGGAGGTTCCTGCGGAGCCGCAGATGGAACCTCAGGAAATGGCCATGTCCTCGGCCCCGCGCGGAGCTAATGCTCGAGCTTCCGCCGTCTCGCGTGTCCAGGGACGCGCGCCGCCGCGGGGGGCACCTTCTACTCGTGGTGTTTTATGTCAGGCTCCGACCTCGGCTCCGACACGTCAGGTGAGTGGAGACCCCGAGGCCATTGAGCTTCCTCTGCAGCGTACTCGTTTGACTCCGATCGAGGATCGGAATTCGGCTCCCGGCAGGGTACAGGCCATAGCTCGAGAGCTAGAGGCTCCAAGGATGCCGCTTTCCAGGGTCGCCGTCCGGCCACCTCTGATGGGCCGAGACCGTCCTACTGGCCCCGGGGTCCTTCCGGCCCCTGCTGGGACCAGACCTCCGGCTCCCCGGGGAATGCGAGGTTTATTAGATGATGTGCTGGCCTGCATCCGTAGGGGGCGAGAAGAGGCTCGGCCGCGTGGAGCTGAGGCTGAGGCAGAGGCCGAGCGTCCACGCTCGCGCTCGCCTCCGGCGCCCGGCGCGTCCTCCTCTTCGGGGCCGGCTGCGGCCCCAGCGAGCCCCGAGCAAGATCCCGCAGAGTAGCACCCGAACGCCGCGACCGCAGCTGAGGCAGTCAGACTGGCGGGCATCGGGCACCTGCCCTACGCGGAGCGCTACTTGGCTTTCTGGCATGCCGACAGGAGGGGGGACATGGAGGAGGAGGAGCAACAGGAGGAGCTTTGGCATGAGCTGTGCAGTTGGTTCAGTTTTGATCATGATTTTTGGGTGGCCTCGTCTTTTGCTGCCCGCGCTGGGGACGACGGGGCTCCTCCTCCCGCTCGTCGGGGAGCGGGGGTGGGCCTCGAGAACCTGTCTCCCTCGGAACGCCGCCTGTTTGAAGCCTCCGATGCGAAGGAGTGGGGGGCCATGCTGAGTTCGGGGGCCGTGAAGGTAATTGAGCCCGAGGCCGCGTCTCTAGTCAGACGCCGTTTTCCGGGCAGGATTTTGGGAAGTCGAATGGTGAGGAGGTTCAAGCCTCAAGAAGGGGTGGGGGGCGAGCCGGAGGCTAAAAGCCGAAGGTGCGTTCAGGGACACCATGACCCGGACAGTGATGATCTTCACGTGTACGCTCCCACTCCGCAGGCTGAGAGTTTAATGGTCACCCTTCAGGCTATGTGCTCGCTCGGCTGGCAGTTAGAGATTGCCGACGCAAAGAATGCGTTCTGTCAGAGTGACCGGCTGGTAAGGCCGAAGGGCTCCATCTTTTGCGAACCCCGCAGTGGTCTCAATCTTAAGCCCGGTTCGTTGATCGAGCTCATAGCGCCAGTGTGTGGTCTGAATGGCGCTCCCCTTCTCTGGCACCGTACTTTAACGTCTCACCTGGCCTCCGAGGGTTTTCAGAAGTCACTGTTGGAGCCCTGCCTGTGGGCAAAGAGGTCGTCTCTAGGAGAGCCGAGAGCCATCATTCTGATAGAAGTGGGCGATCTGATCGTCGCGGCTCACACGTCCGAGCGCGACTCTTGGAGAGAGAAGCCGCAGGCCCGATTTAAGTTTGGGAAGTGGAAAGTAGGTGCTGCCGATTACGCGGGAAGGCGCCTGCAGCAGCAAGGGGGGGGGGACTTTAGTGGACCAAGAAAAATACGTGGTTGAGCAACTCGCTGCCATGTCGTTGGACAAGGCTCGAAGAGCTGATCCCTCCGCCCTTCTGATCCCGTCGGAGATCAAGGGATATCGGACGATGATCGCTCAGGTGCAGTGGCTCGGCCGTGAGACGCGGCCAGACGTGGCAGGTTCGGCCTCGCTTCTTAGTGCGGCCCTCCCCTCCCCCACGGCGGAGGATGCTTCACTGGGCATTAAGGTGGTCAAGCACCTGAAGTCGTCAGCCAGCCAGCGGATCATCATCTGGCCATTCGACGTGAGTTCGGTTACCTTTGTCACGATTTCTGATGCGGGAGGCCCCGGGTCCGCG